AACCCAAACCAACAAATCCTTAACTGGAGCAGACCTAGCAGTTAAGATGCCGGCTCCCACCTTGGAGTGTCTGAGTTCAATTCCCAGCTCCGACTCCTGGTCCAGTCTGCCACCAGTGGCTCAAGTGATTGGATCCCTGCCACCCACACAAAATGCATTTCTGGCTCCCGACTCCAGTTAGTAAGGGCATTTGAGGGAATAGAGATGGGAGCTCTCTGTTTATCTCGCTTTGTTGTTCATCTCTCTGCCTCTCAAAAGAACAACAGACCAACAAAAGCAAAAAAAACCTTCATGCCAGCTCTGTGATGCAGCAGGTTAAGCCACCATCTGCAGTGCCAGCATCCCATATGGCCACTAATTCAAGTCCCAGCTGCTCCACTTCAGATCCAGCGCCCTGCTATTGTGCCTGGGAAAGCAGCAGAGAGTAGCCAAGTGGTTTGGCCCCTGGCTCCCCATGTGGGAGACCAGAAAGAAGCTCCTGGCTCCTAACAGATGGAAGATCTCTGTCTCTCCTTTTATCTCTCTTTAACTCTGCCTTTTAAATAAGTAAATATATATATATATATATATATTTAAAACCCTATAGTTTTGATTCTATTAAAAAATCTGTATGTGTTTAACAAAGTCACAGGATATAAAGTGAATGCAGAAAAATCAATCACACTTCTTTGTACTAGCAGTGTGCAATTGAAAAGCAAAATAGAAAAGCTAATGTCATTTATGACAGCTCAAAGAGAAACGCAGAACTGTGGTGGAGATCTGACAAAACCAACTGGTGCGGGATCTGTATGCTGACAGCAACAAAACTGCTAGCATGTAATTTATAGGAATAAACCACTTTATTCATTTGCCATCAAGATTTCTCTACTTGTGCGCAGAATTACCTTTGGGGCCAGATTCCAAAGCAGCAAATCGTTTTTTCTCACATTTACCTTCGACTGTGTGGTATGAAGTAGGTGTACCAGTAGACCTTTTAAATATGTATAATCTTTATATAACTTAAACAGCATTTAAAAATTTCAAGTTTCTGTTCTCTTTCTGACATAAAGGATCAATCATATTCATAATGCAGTTTGAAATTGAATTTCGTATTTCACCTACACATTCATCTCTGTCAATACTTCTTAGGAACTGTTAGCACTACATTATACTATTCTTACCCAGATCCTATTGTGCATGCCGATGTGAGTGGTTTCTTTAGAATTTCAATTTGGAAGCCAGAAACGATACACGTTTTCTATGAAGTTCAACTGAGCTTTATCTCCTCTTAGATCAGCCTTCTTTTTCTTTCTGATTTTTGGTTTTCCTCTTTTAAGCCTTGTGGTTAATATGTCTGTTGCCAAAAAAAATGTTTTCTACTACTGGTTTATGTTACATATTTAGTGAAGAGGAGCTCATGAAGTTAGTGTGTGAAATTGATATGCACACATTCCGTGCTGTCTCTGGGAGACTTGGTCATTAGAACCTGCTGTTTCTGAAGCCACACCTGACATGAGTTGTATACTTTTCCGTATTCACAAGTAAAGGCTTTAGAATGTGATCCCCTGCAAACTGTGATGGGACTGACCACTCAGAGGAAAGAAACCAATCATGTCCATGAGGAGCTAATGGTCAGGGCTGGCAGGGTGGTGCTACGGAGGAAGCTGTCGGCGCTTGTGATGCCAGCATCCCATATCCGGGTGCGGGTTCGAGTCTTGGGTGCCCTGCTTCCGATCCAGTTTCCTGCCAACGTATCTGGGAAAGCAGTAGACACCTGCTATCCCTGTGGAAGAACAGGATGGAGTTCCTAGGTCCTGGCTCAGCCCTGGCTGTTGTGGGTCTGTCTCTCTCTCTGTCACTCTGCCTTTCAGATTAATAGATCATACTTCTGTGTGTGTGTGTGTAAAGAGCTAATTGACTTTGTTACACACCTTGCTGAGGACACTGCCCAGGCAGCCATGGTGCAACCTTCGGGGTTAGTTCAGTACAGACAACAGCACAGTGTGTGAAGGCTGGTTCTTCTACTCCAGGCGTGGGAACCGTTTCTCTGCTGGGGCCACTGAGATATTATTATAACATTATTTGCAGGCCATGCAAAATGATCAACTTTCCAATTAACCCGCTATATTGTATTTTTTGAGTCTTGCTGGTGGTTGCCTTGGCAGGGCCAGACCAAATGATTTTGCAGACCTCATATGGACTCATAAGGACTCGTACCTTAGTTAAATGGCCCAGATAAAGAAAGTTCAGTTATGCTGATAGAATTCATAGCTGCCACTAAAGTAATTAGGACAGTTAATGCTAGAGAAAACCAGGATGGAAGTCCGAGGATTTGACCGGTGGGGGAGGTGAAGAGGCTGCATTTAAAGCAAAGATGAGTTGGGTCTGATACTGAGAGACAGAGAATGCACAAAGCTGGGGAAGGCACAGCACAGGTGGCAGAACTGCTGTCGGAGGCTGAGCCGTGGAGATGCAGGCACAGCCTGGACACTCCCAGCTCTGCCGTGAGAGAGTCGCTCTGCTGCCCCTTCCCCGCCTCTCTGCACAAGGGCAGCCAGTCCACACCTGCTCCCTTCCCTGGTTCCATAGGGTCTGACCACCACTCTCGATGTTTACACCCGCTGTGTACCTCCTCCCCGGAACAAACTGGCCTGGCAGTCCTGTTTGTGCTGTCTTCCGTTTCCAGGAAAGTCCTGCTGTCACTGTGCTGAGCCATTGCTGGCCCTTTTCTTCTTAATCCAGCCTCTGTTTCTTGGATTTCCAATTGTTGCTAACAGTAATACTAAGAGAAAGAGTCCTCAGGATGGTAATTGACCGCCAGCTGAATAGCAGAGTGCAGTCTAGGCAGGAACTCCTTTGTGCGACATCGACGTGGTTGTGTAGCAGCAGGCCCTTCCCGGGTGCCAGGAAGTGCTGTATGTGCTGTGCACACCCGACTCATCCTCTCAAGAATCCTATGGGCTGGAGGCTGTGGGTAACTCGCTTTATCGGCGGAGTTTCCAAGAGGTGAATTGCCCAAGGTGGCGCTGCTGGTAAAAGGCGGACCTGAGGTCTTCCCGCTACCGCTCGCTACCCCAGCATTGGAACTGGTTGCCAGAACCAGACGAGAACAGATCGGGAGGCGTTTGGATGTATAACAAATCTTGAAATAACTGCCAAATGGATATTTTTTTTTTTTGCTTAAATGATTACCTCTTTTTTTTTTTTTTTTTTTTTTTTTAAGATTTGTTTATTTGAAAGACAGAGTTATAGACAGAGAGGGAGAGAGGTCTTCCATCTTCTGTTTCACTCCCCAAATGGCCACAATAGCCAGGGCTGAGCCAGGCCAAAGCCAGGAGCCAGCAGCTTCACATTCAGGTCTCCCACATGGATGCAGAGGCCCAAGCACCTGGGCCATCTCCTGCTGCTTTCCCAGGTGCATTAGCAGGGAGCTGGATTAGAAGTGGAGCAGCTGCGACTGGAACTGGCATCCACACGGGAAGCCAGTGTCACAGGTGATGACTTAACCCACTGCACCATAATGCCAGTTCCTGTTAATAGGATTTCAAACATATAAGTGACTTTTGGGCTGGCGCCGTGGCTCACTTGGTTAATCCTCCACCTGCGGTGCCAGCATCCCATATGGGCGCCGGGTTCTAGTCCCAGTTGCTCCTCTTCCAGTCCAGCTCTCTGCTGTGGCCCAGGAAGGCAGTGGAGGATGGCCCAAGTGCTTGGGCCCTGCACCCACATGGGGGACCAGGAAGAAGACCTGGCTCTGGCTTCGGATCGGCGTAGTTCTGGCCATAGTGGCCATATGGGGGGTGAACCAACGGAAGGAAGACCTCCCCCCCCCCCCCCCCTGTCTAACTCTATCTGTAAAAAAAAAAAATAAGTGACTTTCAAATTCCATTTATTTATTTGTATTTATTTGAAAGAGAACACAGAGCTCCTCCCATCTGGGGGTTCTTTTCCCAAGTGGCCACAACAGTAGGAGCTGGACTAGGCCAAAGCTAGGAGCCAGGAGCTCCATCCAGATTCCACTCGAGCCGTCACCTGCTATGTCCCAGGGTGCACATTATCAGGAAGCTAGAATTGGAAGCAGAGCAGGGACTTGAACCCAGGCACTCCAGATAGGATGTGGGCATCTCCAACAGTGTCTTAATTGCTGTGCCAAATGTCTGCCTGTATTTATTTATTTTTTTTAATAGAATATTAATAGAATACATATTGATGGGGTATAGTGTGATACTTCAGTACATGTATATAATGAGTACAGATCAGGTCCATCCATCATCTCAAATATTTATCAAGTCTTTGCATTGAGAGCATTCAGAATTCTCTTTGCTGGCTACTCTAAAGTACACAGTCATTGTCAATCATAGTCACTGTACTGAGCTATGCAACATCAGACGTTATTCCTCCTGTCCACCTGCACCCCTGTGCCTGTTAGCCATCACCCCCCCCCCCCCCACTGCTGGTACCCACTGTTCTGCTCTCTACCACGATGAGGTGCTCTGAAAAGGAGTTTTCAGAGGAAGCCAAGGAGTCTTCTGTGTCGACTGAAGATTGCTAAAGACACGTGCATTGAAGAGGAATCATCTCTTGCCACCAAGTCTAAGAAAAGCATCGGTTGGCGAGTTGTGAAGGCTTAGGACCAAGAACTCAGTCTAGAGACGAGGACTGTTGAAGCTGGCTGTGCCACTCGATTTTGAGTAAATGTGCTCCTTGGTACTGCTCTTAGTCTACCGTTACCTAAAATAGCAGTGGAACTCCAGAGCTGACCCAGCTCTTCCACTCCCATGTTTTGCAGGCAGAAATCATCACACACGTGCTGGGTTTTTATTTTAGCCTGGACTGCTGATGCCGTGTCCAAGCTCAGGCTGCCTTTCTTTATGTGGGGTGGGCAGTTGGAGGCGGAGAGTTTCATAGTCACAGAGTCTTCTTGAGACTGGCTACTTCATAGATTTTTCTGGAGTGAAAAGCTGGGGGAGCGCTATGGGTTAAGGTGCACTGAATGACAAACATCCTTTCTCCCTGTGCAGTATGAGCCCAGAGGCCCCGGTCGGCCCTTGTACCAAAGAAGAATCTCATCTAGCTCAGTCCAGCCTTGTTCTGAAGAAGGAAGCGCCCCCCGGGACAGTCTGGCTCCGTGCAGAGAGCTCCAGGACCATGCTAACCCAGCTTCTCTCAACTTCTCTTCCCCGGAGTCCTGGGTCAACGCCACCTCATCTGCCCCCTACCAGAACATTCCGTGCAATGGATCCAGCAGGACAACCCAGCCCAGAGAGTTGATAGGTAAGGCCGAGTGGCAGGGGTGGGGTTGCCAGAGCTCCTTCTGTGCAGTTCTTCCGCCACCCCACTCTTCGCTTTCATTGTTGTCTCTGAATCAAGCTGAGCGCTGGTAGCTCATAAGTGTACCTCTGGCCTGGGTATTCGTATAGGATTGTATTGGTGTCGTCTTTATGGTCTGGAAGTGGATTCGTCCGGATTCGGACACAGATCCTTTAGATCACTTTGACCTGTGATTGAATGAAAACAATAGTGGAACTTCAGATCTGTTTGTAAATAGATAGAGTCACCTTTGCTTGGGAGAAGTTTGCTGTTTCTGCTTTGTTTTTTTCTCTTCAGGGTTAGGGTGGAAGTTGGTTAGGTCAGTATCAGTTTCTAAGGGTTTGTTGTCAAGCGAGTATTGACAGTTTTGCTATATTATAGAGTTTGGCCACGAGAAAGACCTGCAAAGTGTAACATTCTGGGGTTTTGAAATCCTGTGTTTATTCCTGATGTTCTAATGAACTGAGAATGCAATGGCTGAAGAATAAAAACGGAGTAGGACAGGGCACTCAGGACTTCACTGTGATGTGAGAAGTGTAAAGCCCTCCTCTCTAGCTTGGAACATGAATGACTGTGTTTTTTTTTTTTCCAAAGATTTATTTATTTATTTGAAAGGCGGAGTTACAGAGAAGCAGAGGCAGAGAGAGAGAGAGGTCTTCCATCCGTCAGTTCATTTCCCAGATGACCGCAGTGGCCGGAGCTGTGCCAATCCATAACCAGGAGCCAGGAGCTTCCTCCAGCTCTCCCACACAGGTGCAGGGGCCCAGGCACTTGGGCCATCTTCTACTGCTTTCCCAGGCCACAGCAGAGAGCTGGATCAGAAGTGGAGCAGCTGGGACTTGAACTGGCGCCCACATGGGATTCAGGTGCTGCAGGCGATGGCCCCTATGTGGTGAATTTCTGTCCCAGTAGCACCACTTTTGTATTTGAAATTAATCTTGTTCACATCTTCAGATGTGAGCCTGTCATTTCTGTAACTGACCATTTTTGACCATGTGCCCTCTCGGCACATTTTTAGAACAATAGACCTGGCATGGCAAAAACCGTTTACAGGACTTTGCTTTTGTTCCCAGCGCCGACTGTGTGTGCATTGCTGTGTTTGCCCAGAGAAGCTTTGTCATTTTTAAGATCTGACATGTATGCACACATGATATCATATTTGAATTTCCTGAGAACATGAAAGTTACAAATCAGTGATGATAATTGTTACTTTTTGTTGGTTTTATTTCTTATAATTTATTTTAAAGATAACGTCATTTTTCTTTATTCTTTGCCCTCACCTAAGTTTTAGAATAGTTTTTGGCTAAAATAAAAAAAAATCTCATCTGGGGCCGGCTCTGTGGCATAGCAGGTTAAGCTTCCACCTGCGGTGCCAGCATCCCATATGGGCCTGGTCGAGTCCCAGCTGCTCTTCTTGCTATCCAGCTCTCTGCCATGGCCTGGGAAAGCAGGGGAAGATGGCCCAAGTGCCTGGACCCCTGTATCCATGTGGGAGACCTGCCTGGAAAAAGCACTTGGTTCCTGGCTTTGGATTGGCCCAGCTCGGATCAGTCTGGCTCCAGCTGTTGCAGCCATTTTGGGAGTAAACCAGAGGATGGAAGACCTCTCTCTCTGTCTCTCTCGCTCTCTGTCTGTAACTCCGCCTCTCAAATAAATAAATAAATCTTTAAAAATAAAATCTGATCTGAGCTGATAGATAAGAAAGTTCCTGAAAGTTATGTTACTTATATGGTTATTTTTTCTGAAAACATAAGATGATTATTTTTGTCATTGCTAGAAGACAAATTGTATTTTTTAGTTGAAAGTTAACAGTTAAATGTAAAAAATTAATTCAAAATTGCTGATGTTCTAAAGCCCACTTCTTGCTCATCAGATGTTTGTTTTGTAGAGAAATGCAGTAGGTGGTGCATGGGAGGGAAAAGTCATTAGCACAGGACTTCTTTCAGAAGTCTGAGGTTTCCTTCTTGAGCTTAAAGAAAACTTTCTGTTGTTGCATCGATTTGAAATTTAAAAGAGATTAGTGACATTTAAAGGGAAAAGGGAGAGATGCACCAGAACGATAAGTGGTTTAGAATAACTTTGAGGTTTTTTTAAGATTTATTTATTTGAAAGGCAGAATTAAATAGAGAGAGACAGACAGAGAGAGAGAGGTCTTCCAGCCACTGAAATGGCTTTGATGGCCAGGGCTAGGCCAGACTGAAACCTGGATCCAGGAGCTTCCTCCCAGTATCCCACGTGGATACAGGTGCCCAAGAACAGTACCAGGGAGCTGGATTGGAAGTGGAGCAGCTGGGACTCAAACCGGCGCCCATATGGGATGTTAGCATTGCAGGCAGCGGCTTTACCTGCTACACCACAATGCCAACCACTTGAACAATTTTATGAATTAAAATAATAGGTTGAATAAATAAAATTTTAAGACCAAAAACAGAGATTTTCAACATAACCCCTAGATTCTAGTGTTGGACAGCTGTGTTTCTGATATGAAAATTCTTTTAATCTTTGTAATAGGGAACCAACTAGCGCCCATCATGCATTCCCAGGATGCTTAGGGGAGTAAACCACTGTGACTTGGGTTTGAAAGCTTCCTATGGCTTCTGTTTTTTCACTTGTTTTGAATTCCAGGATAGAGCAACCTTATTAAGGATCAAAAGAAAGAAATGTCTTACTTCTCTCTATTTTGGTAATTGTCCTAAGCTATATCTGACTGCAGGAAGCAGAAGCTGACCCACGCTAGCTAGGGGGAAAAGAATTATATTGGAAGCAAGGTCTGGACAGGCCGACTGGATTCATGGCAGAGCCAGATGGTTCTCTGGTGGGCATGTACCACCCATGTAAAGTGCACAGCAGGAAACTGCCTGCCCAGAGTGAGCTCTCAGAGACCACGTGGGGTCATCCGGCAGCTGTCTCGGGGGCCCTGTGAATCCGTCTGTGCACCTGCGCCTTTGTTGCACTTTTCTCTGCACATCGTCCAGTCGCTCCCCTCATCCGTGTATCTCTAACTGGCGTTGTGTTGCATGGTGCCTTGACTCCACATAACCCAGCAAAAGGTCTCAATTTGTCTCTCCCTCCTTCCTCTGTCCTTCCTCCTTGGCTCATTCCTCTCTCTCTCTCTCTCTCTCTCTCTCTCTCTCTCTCTCACACACACACACACACACACACACACACACACATACACAGACAGACATACACACACACTCTTTTGGGAGAAATGTTTATAATCCAATATGCTGTTATGTAAATTCTTTAAAAAATGGTAACAAAAGAAGTTGTTTCAAAACAAGCTATGGCTTAATGGGTAATAAAATGGGTTAGGAAGGGTGAAGCCAAATTTTAGCTTTGAAAGAGGCATATTATAGGAAATGTGAAGTGTTGTTGTTGTTGTTTTTAAGATTGACTTATTTATTTTGGAAGAATTAGAGAAGGAGAAACAGAGAAAGCTCCTCTGTCCCCCAGTTCACTCCCCAGATGATGGAAACAGCCAGGGCTGGACCAGGCTGAAGCCGTGTGGGTGACAGGGACTCAAACACTTGGGCCTTCTTCCGCTGCTTTTCCCAGGCCATCAGCAGGGAGCTGGGTCAGAAGTGGAGCAGCTGGGACTGGAACCAGCATCCATAGAGGATGCCAGCATCACAGGCATCGACTTTACCCACCACACCCAATGTGAAATGGCTTGCAGCTGTTTTTCCCACCTTTCTTCCTGCTTACTCACTATATCACAAGGAAGGGTAGCATTTTTAAACAAATGGAGCCCAGCCCTACTGTTACTTGGATTAGTGAGAAAAGTATTTTTGACCCAGTGACTGCATATGTTCTTACTTTTTATTTGAGAAAGAATGTGTTCCTGTTGACAAGCTGTGAGCAGTTGCTGTAATAAACATCGAAGTAGGGGCCAGCGCTGTGGCGTCGCAGATAAAGCCACCACCTGCTGTCCCGGCATCCCATGTGGGCGCCATTTCAAGTCCTGGCTGCTCCACTTCCAATCCAGCTCTCTGCTATGGCCTGGAAAAGTAGAAGATGGCCCAGGTCCTTGGGCCCCTGCACCCACGTGGGAGACCCAGAGGAAGCTTCTGACTTTAGATGGGTACAGCTCCAGCTGTTGCAACCATCTGGGGAGTGAACCAGTGGGTGGAAGACCTCTCTCTCTCTCTGCCTTTCCTTCTGTGTGACTCTGACTTTCGAATAAATAATAAATAAATCTTTAAAAAAGTAAACATCAAAGTGTACAATAATACAAATTAGCTTGTTTCTCTGCAAGCCTTCGCTTGACTTTGAATGCTCATCTATTAACTTTCCCAGTTCCACGGTGGTAGGGAGTGTGTGTAAGAGAGCTCAGACTTAGAAGTGTTGTGTTCACACATTGTGTTGGAGTGTGAAAGCAGTCTGGTCACGTGTGCTGTGCCCGTGGTGTGTGCAGTGGCTGTGAGAGCCATGTGGTCACATGGGTTAAGGTCGCAGCCTGTGGCAGGTGTTGTGCATGTGGTGGCCATGGCACCGCAGCATGGCGAGAGGGGACAGCAGGGACCCCTGTGAGGGCCGGCTCTAACCCCATTCCTGTTCCTGTTCCTGCTTGCAGCTCCGCCCAAGCCCGCCAAGCCCCCCGAGGAGCCAGCCGAGCCCGAGAGCCTCGAGGTGTCCAGCCCCTTCAACTACAGCGTGCTGCAGCACCTCGGCCAGTTCCCGCCGCTGCTGCCGCACAAGCAGGTGGCCGAGGCGGCGGGCGGCGGCCCGCAGAGCGCGGCGGCCAGCAAGCCGGCCATGTCCTACGCCAGTGCCCTGCGCGCCCCGCCCAAGCCGCGGCCGCCGCCCGAGCAGGCCAAGAAGAGCAGCGACCCGCTGTCCCTGTTCCAGGAACTGAGCCTGGGCAGCGCGTCGGGCGGCAACGGCTTCTACTCCTACTTTAAATAGGCGCTGGTTTCTTGCCGGGAGGGCTTGCGTTTGTACCGGTAGAGGTAAGGTAGTGGGACTCCCCGTAGACGCACCGTTCCCTTTGTTTTACTACCCGACATGTCCTCACTTAATTGCTTTGCTGCTAGACTTGCAACTAATTTTTTAAAAGTATATTCCATTATTTTGCATTTTTTGATGTGAGTCAGAATTTTGACAGCTTTTATGTAGAATAAAAAATATTTTTAAATTTGTGTATGGTTACATATGTTTGCATCAAGCTAGCAGCTAAGAGGTTAATTGTGCAACTATTAAAAAAAAAGAAAAAAAGTTTGTCTAAAATGTATTTAAAAAGAAAAAAAATTGTAAGTAGCATTTACATTTATTCAATAATATTACCACATGCTGGGTTTCTGTACCAGAAATGGCCAGTTGATGTACAAATGTATGTTATTTTTGCTTAAATTCATTTAAAATTTTTTAAAATAAAGGGGCAGCATCTTCTAAATACTTTTAAGTTTTATCAGCTTTTTTTTTTTTTTTTTTTTGTGACAGGATGCTGCACTCTAAGACTTTGACGGTTTTAGACTGTGTGCGCGTACTGTCGTAGCCTCCACCCACCGCAGGATAGAGTCCAAGGCATTCTTTGCAGGTGTATTTCACATGCCACTGATTTTTTGAGACACACACGCAAAAAAACAGTGGCATCCTTAGTTATTTTTTGGACAAGCTGTACTTCAAGCTTGTTTTTAATGTTAATTTGATAGTGTGTTTTTTTTTTTAAACAAATCATGAAGCTGAAAAATTTTTAGGATTGTTGGTGCTTAGTAGACTTGATAACTATTTTAAAAAAAAATGCGTGAATTTAGTAAAATCCTCTTTGTTTTTCCTCACTATGCATGTGTAAATGTGTGTAACCCGGCTTTCCTTCCTCCTCCACTGGTATCAAAAATTGTGCCGCTTTAAGGTTTGGGGTTTTTTTTTTTTTTCTTCCTCCAGTAAAAAATTTTGGTACCTTATTTGATGTTTACATTAAAATGTGACATTATACATGGCAATTCAAATATTTTGCTAGCTGTTTTGTTTGAGGAACATCATTAAAGAAGAAATGCAGTGTTTGTCAAAAATATATCAAAATTCATTGAAATCTGGGGCAAAAAAGCTACCCTTGTTTCTCAAGTCTTCGATTCTTCTTAAAATACCATTATTGAACTTGTACTAAAATATAAAATTGAAATAGCTATCTTAAATATTCTGCAGCCTCAAAATTGTTTTGAGTGAACTTTGGGAAAATCCAGAGGAAAATGTTTACCTCGTACATCGCGTGATCTTGACACACGTGAAACGGTGCGTGTCCCTGCCACTTTCCTGGCCCGTTAGTACTGCTTTTGTGTTTCAGAGAGCTGGAAACCCCCTCTCATCTTCCCTTCTTTTGGGGAAGTTGAGGCTGGGCAACACTTGAAGAAGCCAGCCTTCCTCATGGTCCACGCAAACACTGAGATTTGGAAGGCTGCCTTTTGGTAGGCCCTCCTCCACTCAGAGCCCAGTGTTCAGACCACGTGGAAAGTGGCAGGGGCAGAGGAACAGCTCCCGTTCCTCCTGCGACTGGAGCCCAGTTCCCGTGGGCCAGCCGCAGCCCCTCCGGCGTTTCGGGACACGAGATCTGTGTGTGTCTGGAGAACCCCAGGTAGCTGTGAGAGATGTTGCTCTGCCTAACTGTAGTCAGAAGAAAAACATCTGCCCTAGGCCTGTGTGTTTCCAGGTCCATGACAAAACCCCAGGCGTGGGTCTCCTGATGGTGGGACGTCTACAATAAGTAACTGATCCCCTCCCACCTCCAGATACGAAGGTAATTCACAAAGGTTAGTGGAAAAATGGCATCAAACAATAAGTTCATTTTGATGCACCAAAATTTTGAAATCCCTGGATGGTGCTTTTTCATAGTGCACATTGTCCATGAACTTGATGAAGACTCCTCACTTACAGAACTGCAACACAAGCTAAAGGAACGTTCAGAAGCTTCTCGTACTCTGAAGACAAGAATCATATGGCCAAGAGCGGTCAGGCAAACCCGTGCTGTAGGTTGTGACTGAACTTTCTGTTTCCCATACTTGAGCCTTTAAAAACAAAATCAGGTTTTCAGTTACATGTATCTAGGCAGGGAGTACCTTGTATAAATACCCTGATGGAAGGTGGCCGTTTTAGATAAGGAAGGTGTCAGGGCGGCAGGACAGCCTCATTCTCAGCCCGTGTTTTTGCAACACTAGATAGTAATAGCTCCTTACTGGTCCCTGCTCCGCTCTGCTCGGCTCTGAGCTTCTCATCTGTTGTTTCCGTAGCCAGTCAAGGAGTCCATCGTTGTTTCTGTCTGTTACTCTTTCTGGATTCTGGATTTCTCAGCATTTCCTGGTGCCATTCTTCTAGAGCCGTGCTTTTAGGAATCGGATACAGAGTCACGGTATCCCGCAGTGGTTTTGAGCAAGTCCCTGCTGTGTAGGAAGCCTCCATTGGAATGCAACATGGCTTCTGGGTACTTTATGCTCTTTGGGTATTATGTGGGTAGTATTGGCAAGAACCCATACATCAAACTTAACAAAACGTACCTTATTTCACATTTTATATAATGGGTTCAACCTTAGAGCTCAGATAGGATTCTTCTATATATATTTCTAAAGAAAAATTGATGATAATTCTCAAATAATACCAATTATTACCAACTTCCTTTTCTTCCAGAAGAGATTTCTTCTAAGTGAGGTTAATTGCTCCCTTGATGTCTTTCTGCGTCTTTGTTCTTTATAGCACTCTGAAGTTTCCTTAATTTTTTTGCAAGAACTTTTTTGTTCATTTCACTTTTTAATTTCAGTGCTACTTTTTTTTTTAACCTTAAAGACATTCTTTTGAGTTTGTAGAGTATTCATGCTAAGTTGTTATTTTTTTCTAATCTAAAAATGCTAAGATTTGAAGAACTTCGTTCAGTATAATATGGAAATCTTCTGGTGTGGTTTTCTTTTTCTGTTCTTTTATTTGATAGGCAGGCAGAGAGAAAGAGAGATCTCCCATGTACTGGCTCACTTCTGAAATGCCCACAAATGGCCAGGGTTGGGCCAGGGTGAAGCCAGGAGACAGGAACGCAATCCCAGTCTTTGTGGTGGGTGGCGGGAACCCAGTGATCTGAGCCATCACTTGCTTCCCACAGTCTGCCCTGCAAGAAACTGGAATCTGAGCCAGAGCCAGGCCCCGGACCCAGGCCCTCCAGTGTGGGGTGCGGGCTCCTTCAGCACCAGGCTGACCACCTGCTCCTGCCATGCTTTTAAAGGGGGTTTTGGTTGCCGTTTTGGCATATACTTTCCACATTGTTGTAGCAGAGCTTTGTTCTTGGGTCATCAATAGTTAGTTATTGGCCATGTAAGCTAACATGACCTTAATTTTCCTTTCCTCGCACAGAGGTCATTTTGCTAAATCTAGTAACAAAGTGCTTAGTGTGACTTTGTTAGAATCAGAGAATCTCGAGTCGGTTCAGGTCTGGCGTCAACATCGCCTGGTCTTTTCAGGTGGAAGAACAGCAGAACAAGAAAGGAGGTAGAACTCCTTCTGAAGAGAGGCTTCCTAATTAAACACAGCGATCTCCCAGACCTGTCGCGAAAATCGTTCCCTTTGGTTGGAGGCATTGAAGTGGCTGAGAAAGCCAACTGCATCGGAGGAACTTTGAGGTTATTAATAGAGTCTTATGTTTCCCTAGTGTAGCAGCTTTTGTTTTATATTTCTTATCTTGAAGGGAAAGCTATCAACATCAAAGAATGCATCTCTCACCGCCGCTGTGGCTAGAGAAAGCCACCTTGGCTAAGAGTCAGGTGTGAAAAACAGCTTCAGGGTAAACTTTAGTATTCCAGCTATTGTCACTGAGAACATTAGGTTTATGGAGACAGGTGTTGAAAAAGAGACAGCGTTTACAGCATGCCTCGTCATGGACTCTTCTTTAAGAGGACTATAAAAATACAAGGTTAGAACTTTAAATACATTGAGAGACCCACATTGCTGCTATGAAACGTTACTGCGGCCAGCCAGCCTTTGTCCCCACAGCTCCTCAAAGGTAGTCCTTTGTCCTTTGTGTTGCCCAGGTGTTGTTTCTCACTAACGGTTCCCACCACCACCCTGTGCGTTCTCCCAGTGGGCAGGGTCAGAGTCTTCAGGCCCCTGCTCTGTCTCTGCTCTGCCCCCCGAGCTGCATTCAGACTACCTAGCGATCAGAAACAATGGGCGATGTTCTCGCCATGATCTCTTGTTCCAAGTGCCACCTGGGCGTGCCCGTCACGTATCATAGAGACGTCATTTGGAAGGACTGGGTGCACGCTAGTGTCCAGTGTGCCTGTTGCTGTAGGCCTCTCACACTCGTGTCTGCGTGAGGGTGGGCGCTCCTTTGCTGAAACTCCACAGGGAAGCTGCTGCCTTCCCTCCTGCCACCCTCAGCCCTGTGACACTAGGGTTTTATGGCCGCAGTGGCAAGGTCTTATGTTTTACACTTTTATAAGAACACACTCAGAAAATGGCGTTATGTTATCACTTTCCAGTAGACTATCATTAAGCAGCTCCAAAAGCTGTTTTGACGTAACATTGAACATTTTTGAGCCCACCCAAAATACCTACTTTGGAATGAACTTTAAGGATATAATCACCAGGGTCTCTCAGATGTTTTGAAGAGAGGGACCTGATAGAAGAATCTAGACTTAGACATGTGAACTGTGGTTGAATCCCAAACCCAGTCGTACAGGGGTAGCCTGAAACTCAAGTGTGGAGAAAACCCAGACAGCGTTTGTGTCCTTAATAGTTTTAGTAATCAGAGTATTAGACCAGACTTTGTTTGCAGTTTCTTCAACACAGAGATTTTATTTTGGTACAAATATTAAGCATAAAGCATAGTAAGTTTTATATAATTCTATGAGTTCATTAAACAATATTATGAAATTTTCATTATGTTCTTGGGGAGTCTTTTTAGCTATTTCTACCTCATATATGAGGTCTGTTCTATATTTGATTTTGCATTCTAGCATGTGATTGCCTGCCTTAGAACTGTGTATAGGAGGGGAAATCGATATTCCCTTTTAAGAAATCTGTGATTTTATGAAAGGACTTTCGTTTTGTTAGTACCTTTCCCCCCTGATGTCTGAAACATAAAGGGGAAAGGGTGGCAAATTGCAGAAGTGACAAGAGTAGCGTCCCCTTACAGATGGGCCCTGTTCTAAGAGTTCTGAGTTGAGAGCAGCATAGAGCAGTGGTTCTCAGATGTTAGCCAGCGGCAGAATTACCTCAAGGTCTCCTTAAAGTACCAGTTGCTGGCCTGCAGCCCCCAGAGTTTCTAGCTCTGGGCTGCAGCCGGTCCATTTGCTTTTCTGGAAAGTTCCCCCTCCACGCCCTCCCTGCTGGTCTGAGAACCACTGGTCTAGAAGCAAGTCTGCAAATCTTCCTCGTGCGTCAGTTTACTTGGTGTGCAAACCAGGGCTTTGGAGACACTTTGCTAATCCCGAGGCCATGCGTGCAATATTCCTGGAGGAAGAGCTCAATGCCTTTGGCCTGACTGCTGGCCCTTCCTGTCCCTCACCACTGCTGGGCTCCGTGCCGCTCTTCCACATGGGGTGAAAGCATTCCTAGTGGAGGGGAGTTTGATTTCTGTGCCCTGCTGCCTGGGCTGTGGGCTGGACGCCGTGTGTGTGTGGCGTGCTCAGGGTCCGTCTCAATGACCTGTGCACATGCAGAGGAGCGTGGTGGAGAGAAGCCGTCTGAATGCCCCAGGCACGTGAGGCTCTCAGCAGGGGAGTCTCTGTCCTATGCTGGCAGTCACAAGGACCATCCAAAACAATAGAATCCCCGAAGAAGGTATTGTGCAGCTTTTTGGGGTGTCTTGGGGTGGGGTGAAGGCACAGGATTTGCTTTTCAAGAGATGAGTTTCTCAGGTTCACCAAGTTACTTTGAATTCTGTGCCGTGCCAGCAGGTGTTAGGGAGAGCCTGAAGTGGTGATGTGGCAGAAAATGTAATTGTCTCTAATTACTTTGCTACCTTTAAAAAGTCTGTATATGTTTGCAAAACAATATAGGGGAGTCTACTGCCTACCCAGCATGAATTATTCATAAATTATAGGTGCACATGTATGAACAAATTATTTTTGAGAAAGAAACTGCCTAAAATCTGATAAATCTGACAGGTCTTTGGCTACTTTTAAATGTGTGTGTTGTCTTTGTTGTCCTAATATTCACCCCAGACTGTGGGGAGTATTGGGCTCTGCTTCTGGTTTTAGGTTGGCTTGGAATTTACTGAGATACTAGGAAAATGGCCTTTGGTTTGTAAGGTGTTAGAACTGGAATGGCTTGGGTGCCGCGACATGCCTGCTGCAGTCATCAAGCGTTGGGCCTTGGGGTTCCTGAAGCACAGGACGTCCCCCTGAGAAGGCGGGAGACCCTTCCTGAGCGCCGTCGGCGTGCTCAGCGCAGCCCCCGCTGCTGGGGGCTTTGAGTCACTGACACTTTTTTTGCAAAGACCTTTTTGTGTCTCCTTGTGGGTCAGAGGGCTCTGCTGTTCAGGTTGAGGTCCCAGAGTGACAGCTGCGAGTGTTGCTCAGCATTCCCGCCCCTTCCTGCCCCACCCAGTCCAGAGGGAAGGTCCTGGATTTTCGTATACCCAGAGCACGCCTGCTCCTGTAATGCGTTTATGTGACATTCTGGACATCATGTACTGTATCCAAGTTTCTGTGCCAGTCATCAGATTTCTTTGAAACCCATGAAGGTACTGGTTATGCGTGATAGTTGTGTCCTAGGTAAATACGGCAATGAGAACACTTCTCTGCATGCTGGAGGTCGTGAGTGCTGCATTGTATGAAAGGGCCCTGTTGCTAGCGACCAGGGTTCTTTCTGAAATGCTTCCGAGATGCCACTGTTAACAGTTCTTTAACTCCTCAGCTAATCGCATGGGATGAGTGACTTAGCAAATGCATCCTGGGGCTTCCTTGGGAAGTCTTTCCTAAGGGAAGCCGTGGAAAGTGGAGTGGTCAGTGCCCATCTCTTCGGAGTACCAGCTGCATAGCTGTCTAAGTTAGCATAATTTATGGCAGAATTATAACTTTTTTTCTTTGCAGTGAATGATACCTCATCTGAGAGGCTCTAATACCTAAAAGAGTTTATTGTTAAAAGTGAAAATGACTTTGTACCGTTAAATAACCCCAAAGCTACTCTCTAGGGTGTTGATTTTCCTCCTTTCTCTGTCATGCTCTTTCCTAACTTAGTTTTGGGATTACTTTAGCTCCTTGGTTCCTTAGAGCAAGTTTTCAGTTTGGGGGTCTACAGTTCCTACAGTGTGGCCATTGTCTCAGTGAAGTTCTTTTGTTCTAAAAGACTCATGGTAACACAAGATGTATTTTACTGCTACAACTAAAATGTATTTATAATAAAATGCCTTTTTAATAATTTGGCCCTTGGTTTATTATGTGTGAATGCTTCGGTCTCTGCTTCCTTGTGCTTTTTAAGTCTGACAGAGGTAGGGCTCTGACTTCCCTCCTGATACACAGCGGGAAACCGAAAACTCACTGGCGATGCGTCGTGGTGCCACTCTGCTTGCCCGAACTGTGGGACTTAAGCCCCCAAACTTCAGCAGTGGTAAAGGCCAGAGGCCTGCGAGGTTACCCGAAGGTTTAAAGACCACCAGTGCCACTGAGAAAATGAGCGCTTTTCAGACTCATTCAGCTTGGATGTGAGGAAGGAAAAACGGGGATCGTGGTGGACCCCGCACAGTCACACGATCGCTAACTGCTGGGCGGGTGGGGCCCACACTTCATTTAAGAACTCCTACGGCTACTTTATATCCACACTTTATGTAAGTATAATAACACACGTCTCCGTGGTGTGTGACAAGTATTAATTCAGCCATTGTAAAGAAAACGCTGGCCGGGCAGAAAACTGCCTTGCTTTTGTCGGCGAAGGAGTCTCGCGTCTGCCCTGATGTGATTTGAGAAGCACTGGCAGGTCACGCAATGCTTTGTGTGTGCCCCGGGTATTTCATTTTTCACCTCCTCGTCACGCGGCACCATGAATTAGCTTGAATTACACAGTGCTTAAAGTGCGCGGGTCTAAGTGGATGGGGGGAGTCAGACTTCCGTTAAGGACAGTTGGAGATTTGTATTCATCCCAGTGAGTCCGTTTTTAAGTTAGGTGTCTTGCTCTCTCTGAGTTGGATTGGTGTGAGATGACACAAATCTTGTCTGGATTTTGGAGCGAAAACCACTCCATAGAAACCAAATGCACCTGGCAGATTCCATGAGCTGCCTGCTCCCCACGAAGAAGCCCAAGGGCCCAGAGTCAGCGGGAGGTCAGGAGTTAATTCCTGTCTCATTTTGGTGCCTCTCGAAGCACTTTTGAGAATGCTGTTGGTGGGGAGGTTAGTGCAGAAAAGTAATTGGAAAATAAACAGTTGCTGCCTTTCATCAGAACTGCAGGGTGGGGAACTCGTGGGGCGCAGCTGAAGCAGGTGCAAAGCCGGGCTGGCGGGCGGGGTGCTGCGATGGGGAGTCTGGAACACCCACTACCCCGGGCTCGTGACCTCAGTCTGAAGTCGACTCTGCCGCTTCATGTACAGTGTTGTCCCCTCACAGAGGGAAGTTGTTGTCTTTTTTTTTTTTTTTAAAGATTTATTTATTTATTTATTTATTTGAGAGGCAGAGGCAGAGAGAGAGAGGTCTTCCATCCACTGGTTCACTCCCCAAATGACCGCAACAACTGGAGCTGAGCTGATCCGAAGCCAGGAGCTAGGAGCTCCTAGGTCTCCCAGGCAAGTGCAGGGGCCCAAGGCCGTGGGCATCTTCTACTGCTTTCCTAGGCCACAGCAGAGAGCTGGATCGGAAGTGGAGCAGCTGGGATTCAAACCAGCGCCCATATGGGATGCTGGCACTGCAGGCAGCCACTTTACCCACTACACCACAGCACTGGCCCTGGAAGTCCTGTTCTTAAGATGCCACCAACCTCGTGTTGATTGCACAGCTTTGCTTGTAGTTCACTGCCAACTGCAACCAGTTACCTTCCGGAAACAATCCGACAGTGCCACCCTTTTCCTGCAAAGCCGTCGGTGGTGCCCCATCACGTCCTCAGTGTCTTAGCTGGACATTCAAGACGCCCCGAGTCTTGTCCCTGAGCACTGCTCGCACACCGGCAGCCTACAGCTGGCTGCTGGCCCTGCCTTCCCCGCAAGCCCTTGACTTCCCTCTGTCCATGGAACTTCCCTCTGACATCTCCTCTGTCCAGAACGTGCCCTCCAGCCCTCATAGCCCCACTCCCACGTCTGCTTGGGGGAGCTCCACTTAGCCAAGACGACAAATTCTACCTCCTGCACTCGCTGTTGGATTAGCGCGCTGTGCTGAGGCCTCATCACAGTTTCATGTTTTGGAGTTTGTGAGGTTCTGGATGGCAGAGATCCTGTCCCCGCGGCCCCAGGTTTGATGAGGGGAGGGCTTCAAGACACCCTTTCGCTCCGCCTTGACATCCTGTGCCCACGCAGTGCGGCCGGATGCCAGCCCCGGGCAGTGAGGATGGCCAGGGGGGAAGGAGGAGTGAGCTGAGCTGTGTGGTGACGTCCCCTACGCGGGTGACAAAGCACTGGCACCCTCGCGTGCTTTGTGTCTTACCAGGCGTCACTGCTGGAGCCCTCGGGTTGACAGCTTCACCATGGTTATGTCAGTTTTGACGGATGCTGCCTGCTGGAACACGCCCCGGTCCGCAGGCACATCTGATGCGGCTGCAACTCCCCTGGGAGTTTTCATGGCTCCCATTGCTGTTGAATCGCAGAGGGAGGTAATTAAACTGAATAGGAGCTGCAGCTTGCAAACCTATGGCATAATGCTGTCGGAGCTCATTAGAAGGGTTCCTGTGCACAGGGGTTGGAACCCCTTGTTTGAGGAAAGCGCTGTTAGTCCGCGAGAGCAGTGGTCTGGGGGCCGACTCCTGGCTCAGAGGTGGGCTCTGTTCCCCAGACTGGACGGGAACACTGAGGACAGGTCCTCCCGGGTGGAAGGACCTGCAAAGGGGCTTTGGTCAGGGCTTTGTTTCCCTCATCCGCAGCACAGCCAGTGGAAGGAGGCGGCTCTCCCTCAATCACGCCGGCTGGGAAAGGCTCTGATGGGCTCACGGTGGAGGCGTGGGCGCATTTTCAGAAACCAAACAGAAACCCCGGCCTCCGGCCCAAAGTTCTTTTTCTAAGAGAAAGGAGTGCAGAGTCGGTGCTCTTAGCTCTGACCATGTTGAAAGCAGGTTGCACACCCTGGGACAAAAGGAGCAGGTGCTCATTGGAAGTAGACAGGCAAACAGGCGTCATCTTTGTTTTTTACGTTGCAAATGCCCTCAACAGCTGGGGTGGGAGAAAGCGGGCTGAGGCCCTAGCTGAGAGCCAGGAGCTCAGTCCGATCACTTGAGCCATCAGGGCTCCTCCCCAGGTCTGTGTTAGCAGGAAGCTGGAGTCAGGAACCAGAGCCAGGGATGGAACCCAGTTAGTCCAGTGTGGGACACAGGTGAGCGTCTTAACTCCCAGGCCAAAGGCCCACTCTGTTACCTTGATGACTCATTTCTACTCAGGGTGACCTGCTAGGCCACCTGGGACCACAGCCGCTCCTGCTGGGCTGATTCTGCTACAGGGTGGAAGATCCACTGCGAAAAAGTTGTGATCTAGTGTAAGTAAAGATGGTTATGGGCGCCAGTGTTGTGTTGCTGGTAAAAGCGGCTGCCTGGGACATTGGCATCTTGTGGATGCAGGTTCAATTCCCGGCTGCTCCACTTCCAATCCAGCCCCCCACTAATGCGCCTGGGAAAGCAGTGCAAGATGGCCCAAGTGCTTGGGCCCCTGCACCCACGTGGGAGACCCAGATGGAGTTCCGGGCTCTTGGCTTCCACCTGGCCCAGCCCTGGGCTGTTGGGGCCGTTTGTGGAGTGAACCAATGGATGGAAGCTCGCTTGCTCTCTGTCTCTGTCTCTCTCTCTCTAACTCAGCCTTTCAAATAAATAAATCTTAGGAAAAAAGATGGGTTCGTACTTTTGTGGGAACCTGTTCCTGCCCACGGATGTGCTGCAGCTCGGAAGATCCTTTCAGCTGGAGATTCGCAGCCATGGACTCTGCCGAGGGAATGCCGCTGAGTCTCCCTCCCCGGACCCCAGCCACGCACGGGACGAGCTCCTCACTGCTCCTTTCCTGCTTCCCAGGGCCTTCCTACGGGCCTTCCGACCCCTGCGCCTTCTCCCTCCCCCACAGCCACTCCCGTCCGTGCCCTTAGGGCACTGCTCTGGGCCCTGTGAGAACGTGGGAGAAAGGGTTTGGTGAGGAAGATGCTAGCTGCCAGGATGGTTCTGAAGAAAACCGGGCCCCTTACCTTCAAACAGCTTAGATTCAGTGAGGCTTGCAGGCCGGGTGAGCTGACCCAGAGTGGGGTCAAGGTCACAGATGCGGAGAAGCATGAAGTTGGAGAGCACGCGATGTCTGAGCCGGACCCTGCGGAGTCGGCAGGGCCTCCCAGGTTAGAAAGCGGACAGCTGCTTGCTCCTGAAACCCTCCCAAGTCCCATAGCATTTACAAAGTCACCTGCCATTGAATGCCCAGGTTCCTGCGGGACAGGAGCATGACCCACTCCCGGGGATGTCCGAGTTTTGCGCAGTGCCCAGCCTGGCACACAGCGCTTGTCCTCGGTGTGGTTAACAGAAGGCTGCCGCCTCCCCATCATCCCCATCGTGGTTCTCGGAACCCCTGGGCGCTCAGGGCCACACGGCAGAGAGAGGGCAAGGGAGCCGGGTCTCCGGCAGTGGCAAGGGGAACAGAGAAGCAGAAGCCGTCAAGCTCGGCTCAGGGAGAAGACGCATCAGCCCGAGACACGAGAGCCGTTCTGACTTGGGTGCAGGACAGAAGGTGCCATCAAAACGAGGGGACAAATACGGCAGAGTAGGTTTGTGGGAGAAGGGTCTTGAGCGGGGTTTGGACTTGGGGGGAGCGAGGCGGCGTGGAGCCCCTGGGGAGCAGGTCCCTGCCGAGAGCCGTGCAGTACGCCCGTCCGACACCTGCCTGGGGGACAGGGTGGGCGTCCTGGGTGTGGGGCACCAGACAGAGCTCTGGAAATGGCCAGACTTTCTCAGATCTCACGGTGTGAGATGCAACACCCGGTGCAGCGGGCAGGCGTTAGAAGGGCAAACATCGGCCGGCGCCGCGGCTCACTAGGCTAATCCTCCGCCTTGCGGCGCCGGCACACCGGGTTCTAGTCCCGGTCGGGGCGCCGGATTCTGTCCCGGTTGCCCCTCTTCCAGGCCAGCCCTCTGCTGTGGCCAGGGAGTGCAGTGGAGGATGGCCCAGGTGCTTGGGCCCTGCACCCCACGGGAGACCAGGAAAAGCACCTGGCTCCTGGCTCCTGCCATCGGATCAGCGCGGTGCGCCGGCCGCAGCGCGCTGAC